GCCCACCCCGTCTCCGCTGGAGGGACCGTCGCGAGCAAGCTTCGACTTTTCCACGGCCGCGGCTCTCGCTGAGTTCCACCACCAGCCCCGCTCGTCAGAATCCAGCCCTCTTCACTCCGGCAGCCTGCAGCTCAGCGTTTCCCCAGAGTTCGCCTGCAAGACAGCGCTCTGGGCAAACAATCGCAGAGCTCATGAGAGAGAAAGCTCTCAAAATGACGGTCTCCGGAGGGTGTGTGTAAAAGTGACACGAAAGTTGAAATAAATCATCATTAATGATCAAAGTGTCTGTTTTTTAGCCAGTCTGTAAGCCCGGATGAGCTCACAGCGGCCGCACACATAAGAGCCGGTGTCCTTAATAAGGGTTTTTAAACTCACCGCCACTCCAAGACATTACCAGTCGCTTACAGGGCACGATGGTAAGTTAAATAACTCGTTATAATCCCGAGCTGCACGATTTTCACTCAAGCGATGTCAACTCGCACTCGTGGGATGAAACAGCCCCACACACGAGCCGGTGTCCTTAAATAAGGGTTTTTAAACTCACCGTCGCTCTAAGACATGATGAGTCGATCACAGAACAGCCTCCACACATGAGCCGGTGTCCTTAATTAAAGGTTTTTAAACTCACCGTCGCTCTAGACATGACGAGTCGATCACGGCACAACGGTAAGCGAAAATAACTCGTTACCAACTAGAACTGCACGATCCTCACTCAAGCGGTGTCAACTCGCATTCGTGGGATGGAACAGCCTCCACATGAGCCGGTGTCCTTAAATAGGGTTTTAACTCACCGCCGCTCTTGACATGACGAGTCGATCACTAAGATGAACAGCCTCCATCCAACGGCGCTGCGTTGATGCTGGCGCACACACACAGCTGCCGGCGCTAACCAGCTCACATCGGTATAAATGTGGCCCGCAGGCTGGTTCGGGTGGGGGCCCTTCTCTCTCACAAGAAACGACACCCGTCTCGACGAATCAACGCGGGCAGCCGTCACCCACCGCGTCTCAGCTTTCGGCAGCTCACCGCAGCTTAAACGTGAAGCAGCTGAAGAACCCGGTAATGAGTCCCGCCTCCCTCCAGCGCGCGCCCCTCCAGCGAGAGCGGCGCGCGTCCCTCCAGAGAACAACGTGTGCTCCCGCGGGGCTAGCAGCCTTCACTCCAACAGCACGGCGTAAATGAAGTCACGCCCTCCGCCTTTTCAACGTTCGCACAGCGACGTCAAACGCGCAGCCCCACCGCGTCATCAGCTGTCACACGCTTCGCCTTCAGCTCAAGTCTCGCCCGGGATCACACAGAAAACATTCCCGCGACGCATGACGGCGGTTGAGGGGCGGACTGCTGACAGCCGTACAAAACATGACACATCACTTAACGCACGTTCACCCTACGAACGTTACGTAGAGTGGCTAAAACATGCTCGCCGTTTTTCAGATGGATGGACAAGGTTTTATGCAAATGGTACAAGTTACAGTTTGCAACCCGAACCCCTCCATTCAGAGGAGTTATAAAAAACGGTCCCGTCATCATCAGACTGATTCTCATCCCTAAATGCAGAAATCCAAGAGTTTTCTGATAAAAGTAATCTACAGAGTTCCCCAAGGGAGAGAAAACACAAGGTTTTTACTCACGGATCGGAGGGGTGAGACCGTTCTTGGATCTGTTGTTTAACATCCAGAGAACGCATACCGATCATCCTAACACAGAGACGAGAGTTTTTGTTTTACCTGGATGATCTGCTGCTCCTGTCAATTCAGACAGGAGGCGCTGATGCAGGATCAGGTGTTGACATCACACCTGTTAAATCTGGGCTTCGCCATAAATTGGAAAGAAGCTCGATTTTTCCGGCCCAGACATTTGTTTCTGGGAGTGGAATTAAATTCAACCACCATGAAAACTCGTTTATCACAAACTAGATTCGACACTTTTTAAAAAAAAGTCAACTCAGCCACGTAAGATCTGGCAAGTGATAACAGCTGTCTCCGTCATGAAGCTGTTGGAAATGATGTCACTCACACAGTGTTTTCCGCTGGTTTGTTTCACATGAGACGCCTCCAGAGGTGGTTCTGCACGTCTGCATGTGGATCCAGTAAAACAAAACGACGGATGATCATTGTCCCTTCCTCTGTGGAAGCAGACCTCCGACTCTGGGGAAACACCTTGTTTTCTGTCAGAGGGAGTCCCCCTCAGCAGACCCACGTCACGGGTCAGTCTTCACGGACACGTTGCTGTCAGGCTGGGGGGGGGGGGGGACATGCCTATCTCAAGCAGTAGGGGCGCTGTGGCCCCACTACACATCAGCCCACATCAATGTTTTGGAGTGTTGCACAGTACTGAATGTGATTCAACACTTTGCTCCCGTGCTACAGAATCAACACGTGTTGATTCACACAGACAACATGATGACTGCCGCTTACATAACCATCAAAGGGTGTGCGTTCAGCCCAGATGTTACACATTGTGCGAAAGCTACTGAGTTGGGTTCATCAAAACCTGCTCTTTATTAGAGCGGTTTACATATCCGGTGTTCTGAACGGAGGGGCAGATGTGACGTCCAGGGGCGGCCCACGTCACGTGGACCGGACCCTCCATCCAGACCTGATGTTTTCAGACGCAGCAGAAGTTGGCAAAGCAGCTGTGGACCTGTTTGCGACGCGAGAAGAACGCTCAGTGTCAAGTATGGTTTTCCCTGAGCCCGCGAGACGATCCATCGCTGGGGGGGGACGCATTTGCTCACAGCCGGTGGCCCAAAACGCTTTTATACGCGTTTCTTTTCCCCCACCTCCTCTGTTTTTTTACGGTTCCTGAACCGAGTTCAGGAGGAGGGATTGACAGCTCTCCTGGTGGCTCCCGGCGTGTGAACGCACCATGGTTCCCAGGCCTGCAACGTCTGTTGTCGGGTCGCCGTGGAACTGTCGTGGAGGGAGGATGCTCTCCTTCAGGCAGGAGGAGCGACCAAGAGTTACCCAGAAATAGGTCAACACCTGTGGGTCTGACCGCTGAGCGGTCCCACTTAGAGGATGGGTCTCCCTCAGGAGATAGTGTGCACAATTCAAGATTCACGTGCTGCATCTACCACAGTTCTGTACACATCAAAGGGGACGGCTTTTCAGCGCTGGTGTACAGAGAAGGTTTAGAGGCCACCTCATGCCTTTTAGGCGGCGTGTTGTTTTTTTCTACAACAGCTGATGGATAGGGAGTTGGTTTTCAGTACGCTTTAACGTACGTTGCAGTCATCTATTCCTGCCACGAAGGTTTCGGAGACAGAACAGCTTTTAATCACCCGCTGATGAAGCGTTTTTCTAAAAGATGTTCAGAGACACAGGCCTGCTTCACGTCCACTTGCTCCACAGTGGGATTTAACGCTGGTCCTGCGAGCCCTGATCAAAGCTCCAATTGAGCCTCTGGATCAGGTTTCATTTAAATTCTTGTCTCTTTAAACAACCCTGCTGCTGGTTTTAACACCCGCTAAGAGGATAAGTAATTATCTGCCCTCTCTGTTGCTTCGTCATGCCTTAGAATTTAGGCTGACGGGCAGCTCAGCTGATTTAAGACCAACCCAGCTTTTATGCCTAAAACATCACGAGCTCTTTTAAATCAAGAGTGATATCGTTGGAGGGGTCTTTCCCCCCCACAGATCAGAAGAGGAAGCATCTTTTCATCTTCTCTGCCCGGTGCGGGCGTTGACGTGTTACATAACGCGCACAGCTGCAATGCGTTTCAAACTCAACAATTGTTTGTGCATTATAGAGATGCTTCTGCAGGTCGCCGTTATCCATCCAGCGCTTGTCACACTGGCTGTGTGAGGCCTTTTCTGAAGCCTACAGAGCATCAGATTTAGGGCCTCCTGTCAACCTCAAAGCACACTCGACCAGGGGTATTGCATCTCCGACTGCTCTGCATAATGGTATGTCAATGCAGGACATTTGCACTGCGGCTGCATGGTCAACACCCTGCTCATTTATTCGCTTTTACCTACGTGATGTAACGGCTCGTTCCATGACACATTCTGTCCTTAGTGCTCTAACAGAATGAATATTGTTGTTCTCATGGAACTCTGTTTAAGCTCACTTCTGTCTGCATGCATTACAGTGTGAGATGTTGTTTTCAGTCACAAGTCGTGTCTGTGTTTCTGGTTCTATTGTCACTAATCAGTTCATGACTATTGTTACCAATCAGTTCATTTGATCAATAATCAATTTATGGACATTAATCTGTTTATACTGTTCAGCCATGAACCAGTTGGTTCATCCCCCCCCCCCCCCCCTCTTTTCAACTTCTTCTTCCCGTTGAAAGTTTTCCGGGGTATTCATGCTTTGTCAGAACGCATAGTTACACAACATGCGTCTGTGCATGGCACATAATTACGCAATGCGTAGTTATGCACACGGGGAGCTGAGTGACAAGACGTTTTTTGGGCAAGCTTCCGCTTCTTACTGTGTTCGAATGGACCCAGTGAGGCGAGGACCACATCCGCTTCGCCCTTAACCCATCAGCGACAGCCTTAAAGGGCGAAGCCTATATGAAATAGAACGTTGGTTACGTACTGTAACCCCAGATTCTATGAATATAGGCGTAGCCCTTTAAGCGTCGGGCCTCACTGGCTCCTAAATGGCTGAAGAAAAAAGCTATTTTGGGAGCCGATTTCCCGCTCTTAACGTAATTTATACGGACCGGGTGGGGCCCACACAGCAGGTGGGCGTGGACTAATTTTTTCAGTGCTTATGCTACGCATAACGGGATAAACCCATCAGCGACAGCCTTAAAGGGCTACGCCTATATTCATAGAATCTGGGGTTACAGTACGTAACCAACGTTTTCAGTTCTGACATAAGAGGAGCCAGGAAATTTGGGTTTTTAAGTATGTTTTTACCCTCTGAAAAGTGTTTTATGCTTCTTTCAGCTAAATGAAAATGATCTCTATTAATGATGATTATAGTTTGATTGATAAAATCATCAAAATAAAGTGTTTTATTCTTTTGTTCTCTTGAATTCTTCAGACTGAAGAGGTTGCTTGAAAACGAAAAAGCCTACCAAGTACGGAAAGAGAAGGAGCACTGCAAACGCCTGGCCAAGGTGCGAGAAGAGCTGGTCAAACTGAAGTCCTTTGCCTTGATGTTGGTCAATGAGCGCCAGCAGCACCTGGAGCAGATGGACCAGCAGAGCCAGCGGGTCCAAGAGCTCAGCTCGCAGCTCCAGCAGCGAGACCAAGCTTTGAATGAAACCAAGGAGCGAGCTCAGGAGGACACCCACCGGGTGCAAAGTCTGGAGGCTGAGCTTAAGGAGAAATCCAGTAAACTCACCCAACAACATGACGAAATGAACACCAAGCTGTCTGACCGGGAGCTCCAAAATCGTCAGCTTAACTCTAAACTTTTGGAGCTCACACACAACGTAGAGGAACTGGAGGCAAACAACAGGGCTTTGAGGAAGTCTGAGGAGGAAATGCAGGAGTTAAGAGAGAAGATCAGCAAAGGGGAGTGTGGCAGCTCTAATCTGATTACTGAATTGGAGAACCTGCGGAAGAAGGTCCTTGAGATGGAAGGAAAAGATGAGGAGATTACCAAGACAGAAAATCAATGTAAGGAGCTCAGGAAGAGGCTAGAGGAGGAGAATAACAAGAGTAAAGACCTCAGGCTGGAAGTAGAGCGGCTTCACACAAGAATGATGGAGTTAGAGAAGCTTGAGGAAGCATCCAGCGTTAGCAAAGCTGAGTGCGCACAGTTAAACCTCGCTCTGGAAACAGAGAAGGTCCTGACCAAGGAGCTTTCAGATGAAGTGATAGCTCTCAAGATCCGTATGAAAGAGCTTGAGTCTTCTGAAATCAAGTTGGAGAAGTCCGAGCTAAGCCTCAAAGATGATCTGAGGAAACTCAAGTCTCTGACGGTTGCTTTGATGGATGAGCGAAAGGCGCTTATGGAGACGGTGAAATCAGATGAAATGAAAAAAGACGAACTGAGCAGCATGGTCAAACTGGAGCAGGCTAGAGTTATGGATGTGACTGAGAAACTGATAGAGGAAAGCAAAAAGCTCCTGAAACTAAAATCTGAAATGGAAACCAAAGTGGAGGCTTTAACAGCTGAAAAGGGGGAGCTCAGCTCTAAGCTAGCTTTTGAAACTGATAAAACCGTGGATCTTAACTTCAAGATGAGCCAAATGAAAAAGAAACTGGATGGGTGTGAGCAGGCACAAAAGCTATCTGTAAGGAACTCGGTGATTTGTGATCTGGGAAGAATGTCTGACCCCAGCGGGAAAGAGGACAACAAAATTAAAGAGCTCACATTTGAAATCGAGCACTTAAAAAATCGCCTAAAACAACTTGAAGTAGTGGAGGGAGATTTGATAAAGACAGAGGATCAGTATGACATGCTGGAGAAAAAGTTCATGACCGAACAAGAAAAGGCAAACGTCCTTTCCCAGCAGGTGGAGGAGATGAAGAATCAGATAGCATGGAACAAAGCCATTGAGAAAGGAGAAGAGGAAAGCCGGGAGGAAGATCTCCAACAGCGGTGCAAGAGAGAAGAGGCCAAATCCAGAGAGTTACAAGCCGATGTGCTAGCATTCAAGGAGAAGATCCATGAACTAATGCACAAAGAAGATCAGCTTTCTCAGCTCCAAGTGGACTACTCCATCCTACAACAGAAGTTCTTGGAGGAGGAAGAGAAGGCTAAGAACATGGCAACTGAGGTTTTCCACCTCACTAAAGAGCTAGAGATGGCAAAGCGTCAAAGTCGAGCATTACGGCCCAGCTTAAATGGCAGGAGAATAATGGATGTAGCTGCCACATCCACTGGAGTACAAACAGAGCCGTCATCTGTTGAACCAACAGAGGAGGACTCACCAGCCTGGTTTATCAGAAAGTCTGTTCAAGAAGAGAACCACATTATGAATAACATTCGACAGAAATGCCTAAAGAAGCCTGCTGATAAGAGCAGCGCTGCTGATCGCTGCCCTTCAGCTAGCAGCGAATTTGGAATAAAAAAATCCTGGATTCCCTGGATGAGAAAAAAAGACACCAGTCCTCAGGAGAGCAGTCTAGAAAAACCTCTGCACATTAATGGGGAGCATTTACCCTCTAAGCTGACCACGCCTCAAAACCAAGGGCAGCCTTTACACATTCGAGTAACTCCAGATCACCAAAACAATGTTGCCACTCTTGAAATCAGCAGCCCAACTGCTGAGGATGGTTTTTCAAACTCAGCTCCTCTTAGCCCCAACCCATGTCACCCAAAATCCAGGATCACAATCATTCCCACCTGTTCTGCTCCAACCACCCGAAGAAGGACGCCTACTGCACCTCAAGGTCTTGAAAGAGCTAAGTCTCCAGTCACCATCACAACAATATCTAGAGCTAAGTCTCCAGAAAGCAGTCGACTCCCCTCCTCTACCTCAGGAAGACCCCTGTCCCCAGTTTCTGTTATGACAATCAGCAATGCTGTGGTACCTGAGACATCTGCTTCCCGAGAACCTCAGGAGATGACCATGGGACGGGCTGTGTTTAAGGTTACCCCTGAGAAGCAAATGGTCCCAATACCTGTCCGAAAGGGCCAAAATAATGGTAGCATCATCACCACCACCACGGATGATAACAAGATTCACATTCATCTAGGCAGCAGCATCCCCCCAAAGATGGTAGTCAGACCAGTGGCTAACGTAACAGAAAACAAAGAGCTGACCCTTTCAACTGGGACAGTTTTGCGCTCACCACGCCAAATCACAACCACTACAACCAGGAGCATGCAGACAAAGGTGTCAAGCAGTATTACCATTTCCACTGTCACATCCACAACTTCAAGACCCACCCAAAGCACGGTAAGTTTTACTTTAGGATCCACCTTATTCAAATCAGTCTATCCCTAAGATTTCTATCTTTCCAGACCTCCAATTTGACGACATTCGTTTTGCAATCTCTGATTTTTTTACTTTTAGAAAATCCATGTTCCTAACTTGTAAAGCCACAGTTGTGTTTGATGTTTCACAAAATAAATAATTATTATCTCATGTAGTTAGGAATAGAAAGCGAAATAACAGTGTTTGGTGTTTCAGTGGCACTCATAATATGCGTGTCAAAATAATATGTTTGGGAATGAGATGACTGGCGTGATTGAAACGCTCCTGTGGGTGGGCCTCAGAGCAGCAGAGCTAATGATGTGGCATACTGCCAAACAGCCAAACATCATGTTGTCATTTATATTGCATTGTGTACATTCACAAACAAACAGGACATGTACGGTTCAGTGCACTCTGACTGACAAAATACAGCCTAAACCCATGGATAAAGAAAAAATAATTATTTATATTTTCTTTATTCAATTATATTTACATTCTGCTTTATAAATAGCATTGTTATAGGCTTTTTCTTTTATGAAGCTTGTTTCTGTAGCTTATCTAAGAAACTTAATTTTCTTTGTTTGCCAGATCGGACATGAAACCCAGCTGGCTCGCACAGGTCTTACCCGGATCCCAATGTCCAAGAGCCTGAAGGCAGGAAAAGCTGCTTCCCCAGGAATCTCAAGTGGAGTGAAGCTGGAGTCTCGGATGGAGAGTCAGTCTGTGAGGATAGAGGTCAAAAAATCCACTGTGAATAGCAATATTTTACAAAATGGAGGAAAAACTTGACTGACGTCCATCCAATTTGACCTTTGATTCAGGGTCGAGAGGAGTTGGTGCTTATCCCAAAAGGTGGGGTACACCCTGCACAGGTCGTCAAACAATAACAGAGTTTAACTGATGTAATATAAGCAATAATAAACTTGTCTTTATGGTGCTTCACAAAGTGTAATACAAAGGTATATGTTGTTCCGACTCAACTCAGCAAGAAACAGCAAGACTCGAATGCATTTTAGTAATAAAAAAGCCAAATTATTTTTATGCATTTTTTTTTCCCTTATTGTATGTTTCACACTTTTTTTGTATTTTAAATGAAAAGTCATGGTGAAAATCAGGTGAAAATGTTTTTTGTTTTTTTTGATGGGTTAAATATTATATCTGACTGTGATACTACTAACTTTTTGTTGTTGTAGTTGCTTTTATTGTCACGTATATAAATTTATTGATTATTTTGTAAGGACAATCATCTTGGATAAATTGTGTTTTTGTATGTTTGTTTTTTTTTGCTATAAATACTTTTTACAGATTAATATTTTAAATAAATGTCATGTTAAAGGATAGCCTGGCTTTTTATGTATAGAATGTCAATAATAAAATATTCAGTAGTAGTTTGTTATTATTTGCAAATAGACCAGTCTAATGACTCAGTCTTCTGTATATTTTCCTTTTAATTTGTCAAAACAAAGACTGTATATAATTTTAAAAAGTCTAAATATAAATTACACATGCCATACACTTAGTTAATTAAATAAAACGAAATAATAGTAATTACAAATTTTCAGTCGAATGTTGTTGTTTATTCAATTAAGAAATTTACGAATTATTTTTTCTCCGGAACTAATAATGCGTATGACGAGTTTCACTACGGGCGTGTCTTTTTGGGGGGTGACGTCACTAATACGCGTTCTGTCACCTCATTGGTTCCGTTTCTTCCGGCTTCTTCGTCTCGGTCGAAATCCACAAACAGACGAAACCAACACCACAATGAAGCGATATTTGGATTAGACCGAGGGCGTACTGCACTCCTCGGATAATTTTGTCATTTTCCCAAAAAAGTTTGCTTCTTGTTTTACCGTATTCTCCGGGTAATCGTCGTCTGTCAGCGGTTGAGGATTAGTTCGTTCGGAGCGGATTGTAGCCATGATGGCGTCAAGCTACAACGCTAAGGAAGAGGACGGACACCTCCCGGGTTCTTCGAATCACAGTGGGACAGGAGCTATCAAAACTAAAAAACCCGATAATACAGCGTTCAAACAACAGAGACTACCAGCCTGGCAGCCCATCCTGACTGCAGGCACTGTGCTGCCTGCTTTCTTCGTTATCGGCCTCATCTTCATCCCCATCGGTATCGGTTTATATGTGACATCGAACAACATTAAAGAGTTCCAGGTACGGTTCATCACTGTCTATGCTATATTTCAATAAACTTCATTCAGGTCTTTCTACACTTTAACCTTTTTAAAACACGGTTGGCAGTTTGGCAAATCAATGCACAGCTTAATGACTTTGAAAAATATCATTAATGACAAACAACCCCCAAAAGTGTTCTTTAATATCAGTTTTAAATATGCCCATCTACATCCGGGCACTTTTTAACGTTCAGGATGAATAATCAGTACAAATATTATTTTGTTGTGCCTTAAAATATTACATAAAATGTAGTCCTTCAGCACTACGGCTAGCTTGGAAAAATATGCTGTTTTGTACTATCAACTATAATATAAGCCCATTTCTAAAATATTAATACAAATAAACTGGTCAAAACATCCACCCCCATACATAATGAGTTCATAAGGTTTTCCAGCTTGTGTGTACAGTGTATAATATTGATCAGATATTATGTGAGAAAATATTTGAATTACTGTAGCTAAAAACGTTGCAGAGACTTGCATCATGGTTAGCTTGCTTGTACTAAATTATCTGTATGCATGGAAAATAGTAGGAAGTAAGCATGCATTTGTTTTATCTGATTTATTTATGCTGATCATTTTCAGGTTGATTACACTGGTGTGGAGCTCGACAGTCCGTGCCACATCTGTGCCCAGAACTTCAGCCCAAACAGCACCACGCCATGCTTCTGCACGGTGAACTTCACGTTGCAGCAGCCGTTTGAGGTGAGCTCAGGTCCTGCTGCAGTGCAGGTTCTTATTGATCCAATGAATAATACATGGGTGTGCTGCTTCAGCAATAAAAGCGAGGAACACTGCCCTTCCAACAACAACTATCCATTACGGTAAATTTTTAATCCAAAAAAAGAACACTCAAGGTTTGTTTAAAAGCTGTTAAGCATTGATTTTACTTATAAAATATGCAGGATCACTTTCAGAGAGCCTATAATGATTGTTTATATAAATAGTAATTAGCCACTTGCATTTTTTTGTATACATTTCTATTTTAAAATATGGTTATAATAAAAACAATGAAATTTAAACTTGAGTAAAACTGCATACTTTCCTTCAGATTAAAAAGGAAAGGTGATATTTTTGAATATTGGAGTGTCTGTGTAATTTAGCTTCTGTTTAACAGGGATTATAATGCAGGGAGTATTTACTTGTATTCATTTTGCTTTTCATTTTAAACAAAGCTGACACGCATTCTCATTTGCATTTATTGCATCTCTTTTTTTTATACCGTACATATTGATGTTGTCATTGTAATAGTCACAGTAAATTAAATTCTGTTGATTACACTATACCACCCTTTTTGTCTGAAATTAGACAGTTACTGGAAATTGCTCAGTGAGTCATAACTTTTTGGTTTTCTTCAATAGATTTACTGTGGATGAGGATTGTCAACAATAATACCCTGTTATAAAGATCCTTTGAGATTATAACAGAAACTTGATCTGATTTATAACAAAAAACAAAAAAAAAACTCTTTCAGTGGCTTTTACTTTTTGTAGCACACAGTGAGTTGCAAGTTCATTTATCACAAGAACATGTTTGTTGTGCATTTGATGCATGGCATTCAGTTGCCATGCAGTAAAATTTCATTAACTCATGTTCGTAATTAACCCATTTAAAACCCAGAATTAAATTTACAGTCTTGTAATACAATGGCTTACATCCATCCATGATCCTTTGCTTGTTGCTGAGTAGGGTGGATCCTTACCTCTAAGGGAGATATCACGTTCTTTCTGTCATTACCTAAACTTTGTGACCATAGGTGAGTGTAGGAAACGTAGACTGACAGGTAAACGGAGAGCTTCACCTCGAAGCTCAGCTTCCTCTTCACCACAACAAACTGGCACAGTTTGCAGTACTGTGGAAGCTGCACCGATTCATCTGTCAATCTTCTGTTTCATTTTTCTCTCTCGCTCAAAAACAAAACCGTGACATACTTGAACACTTTCACTTGAAATAGCAACTCACTCCCAAAATGTAGAGGGCAATTCCTTCTTGCTCCAAATGAGGACCATGGCCTCGTTCATGCATTTTTCTGTTTTTCCTGTCAGAAAGCAGTGATTCATTATTGTTATTCTCAAAACACTGAGAGTTTGTTGACCTACTGTTTTTTATATATGTCATTTGACAAACTTCCATTAATATAGATGTCTGTGCAGTTGGTCAGAAAGGTTATGCCGCATGTCTTTTCTTCATAAACAAGCAAAACGTTGTGTCATGTCTCTTATTTAACTTGTATATTCATAGCAGAGGAGAATGGCATTTAATCTTGCCCTGTGGAGCCAAACTTAACAACTTCCGTTCCAAAAGTAACCTTATTAAATTTAAAGCTCACAGAAAATGTTCCTTCCACTCATAAACCTGCTCATTTGAAGGTTTATTTTCCCATAAAAACCTCATTAACATGGTGACCTATATTAAAGTCAGCAAATGGAGTGAGGTTATGTCTGTTTACAGGCATATTGATTAAGAATGTCTTTCAAGTTCTATGTGGAGTTTTCATTTAGTCTTAAAAAAATTGCATTTAATGTCAATCTTCAATAGGATTTTGTTATTTTTTTAGGTTAAACTGATGAGAAGAGTTGCTTCCTTATGTATTAAAAAAAGCTTTGAGCGTCACACTTCATATGTTACATTTAGATTCAGTAGCCTGCTCTTCCTCTCTCTACAGAACAATGTCTATATGTACTACGGCTTATCCAACTTCTATCAGAACCACAGACGCTATGTGAAGTCCAGAGACGACAAGCAATTAAATGGTGATTCAGGAGCTCTAAAGGTAAACATTTTGGTTGACCCCCATCTACATGTAGAGATTCTAGCAAATGCCTTCTCTTTTGGATAAATGCATTTAACTTTTTCAGAACCCCAGCAGTGACTGTGAACCATACCGTAAAGTTGGGGGAGTGAACATTGCCCCGTGTGGAGCCATAGCCAACAGCCTTTTTAACGGTGAGCCTATCCAAACACCATTTTCTGACAGACTGACACTGTTTTGGTGATGAAATAAAACCTCATCTGATTATTGAAACTTGCTGTAAAACCTCTGCTAGTCTTGTGAACTTGCTGTAAAACCTCTGCTAGTCTTGTGAACTTGCTGTAAAACCTCTGCTAGTCTTGTGTTATGATTTCCAAACTTTTAATCATTTATTGCACCTAAAGAAGCAATAAAAAATAAACCTTTTGCTTTTTCTTTTTTTTTTTCCCCCAAGACACTCTGGAGCTATCTTATATTGATGTCAATGGCACCTTAAATCCAATCGATCTGCAAAAGAAGGGCATTGCATGGTGGACAGACAAGCATGTGAAGTTCAAGAATCCTCCTGGAGCTAATCTAAGTGTTGCTTTCCAAGGTGAGTTCTGCAAACTTCTTTGCAGTAAATGTGATATTTCTAATCGCTGAAGTTTTATCCACTAGCTTTGTTTTGATCTGTTTCAGACACAGTGAAGCCGGTGAACTGGAGGAGGCCGGTGTACGAGTTGGACCCGTCAGATCTTGACAACAATGGATTTATCAACGAAGACTTCATCGTGTGGATGCGCACGGCCGCTCTGCCCACCTTCCGGAAGCTCTACCGCATCATACCCAAGAAGTCGGGCGCCACCTCAACTCTACCCAGTGGAAGTTACAGCTTGAAAATTGCTTACAGTATCCTTTACAGTCCAGTCTTAAAATCACGTTCATGAAGTTCATGATTTACAAACCAAGTTGTGTTTTTTTTTAATTAATTTAGCAGAACTTCAAAAGGTTAAGATCTAAATACGTAAATCATTTATTTAAACAAGGTTTTGTGGTCAACATTGCTGCATGTACCTTTTGATCAAGAGGTAAAATAATTTGAAATATTCTCCGTATCTTTCTTCAACTGCATATAATCAGATTACCCCGTGCTCAGCTTTGACGGACGCAAGAAGATGATCTTGAGCACCATTTCCTGGATGGGTGGGAAGAACCCCTTCCTGGGCATCGCCTACATCACCGTGGGCTCCATCTGCTTCTTCCTCGGCATCGTTCTGCTCATCATCAACCATAAATATGGCAACCGCAGCAACAGCGCAGATATTCCAAACTGAGCGGCTCCCGTGTGTTTTCCACGTCTCTGCATGCATCGCTGATCTGCTCTGGACTGCCCGTTGGTGTGGATACACTGTGATTATTGGCGATGGGGCTGCAGACGAGTTCCAAAGCGTCTCATCATATAGCTTTTGTTTACGTGTTGTCATGTGTGTGTTCCTGTACATTTAGCTCCAAGCTGGTTGATAAGCTCGTCACGTTTTTGTTTTGAACCATTTATTTATCCACACGTTGTCAGATTTTATTTTAGCAGTGCTTTGCCGAATGCTTTTTGAAGGATGTGTGTATTCTTGAATGCAAATGTTTATATTATATTCTGAAACAAGTCCTGCTGATGAATGTAACATATTACCTCCAGTTTTTAGGATGACCTCAGTTACAGAATGGGTTCATTGTTGCTTGTGCGCCGTTAAAGACAATAGACATTGATATCTAACTGCTAATATTTAATCCTAGGAGTGACATAAAGCATATTTAACAAAAAATATCTATCTAATGTTCACACTAAGCCAAACCTCTAAGAAATTAAATTCAGTATTCTTAATTCCAGGAACTTTCGACCATGTTTTTGTCTAGTTCCATCACAATAAATTGTTGCTTATAGTTTAGCCTGAGTGATAAATCATCTAATGAGTTGACCAAATAATATGCACTTTACAGGCATGACATTCGTTACTATTCCACCTTGTTTCACCTGATTTCACAGTTTCAGATTTGATGCTGATTAAAAAAATGCAAAGCTTTAGCTTTTTTGGGTTTTATAAGGTTTCTATGGTCTAAATAAAGAACTTGGCCTTTATGCTGGTGTCGTTTCTGATTTTTTTTTTTTTTTTAATGCAGTCAAAACTGAATATCCTGTTTTCAGCTCTCGTGGTTTGAGTGTTTGTAGGTGGTTCAGCTTTATATACAAATTAAAACTATTTTAATTGTACTTATTTTTAGATTGTTTTTGGGTTAATTGGACCGCTGCTTTAAGACTAGTTTATATTTTTGTTTTCTAAAACCTTATGTTGCTATAAATTGATTCAGCTTAAAGCATTTTATCCGTTGACTTTATATATCGTTTAAGAGGCAACTTTTAATTTTAGATTAGAGATACTAAGAATGTTTTGGGTAGTTTCAGAACAATTTAATTGTTTTGTTGATCTTTGCTGCCACCTGCTGGTTGTTTTTTGGATCGTCATATATTTAATCGTTTTCAAAAACTGACTTTAATCAAGATTACTGTATTTCTCAAGTTTTACAAGTTAACTTTCAACATGGGAATTTCAAAATAAAGCCAAATGGCCACATGAATGGGTCAATTTTTATACCCATAAAATGTTACAATAAAAGCTTAATTCAAAAAAAGTCTTTATAAGGCTTTATATTCTTGCTTCAAGTTTCTGGGCATTGTTTAGAGTTGAAAATAAACAACTCAAAATGTTTGATTACCTGAAAGTTTACAAATTGACAAAGTTTGTTATAGGCATGCTGTGTTTAATTCATCCTTCAATTTCAAACATATATTTTAATAAAATGTTCTAGTGTCACTAAGTCTCAGTCCAAAAATGTCAGATGTTCTCAGTTGTAAACCCAGAAATGTAATTTCTTGCAATTTTTCAGAGTTCATAATGACCCTCAAGGAATCAAATGTGAGGTAGTTTAAACTTTTCTGGAAGTAAAATTAGGTAAATTGAGGGAATTAGCATGAATAAATAATATTTATATTTACACATCCCGTCAGTCTTGTTTTTATTTCTCCACATGGTTCTCTCTGCAGTGTGGCAGATCAGACACCAGGGGGCGACATTCCCTGAGAAGCATGCAAGTGGAGCGTGATAATGAAGTTGTGTCAGTGAGTCATTATTATTTTTTATTTTATTTTTTGTAGTGTGATTCCATGTAGGGAACTCTTACAGAAAATTTGACATTAAATTATAAAAAGGATCTGTAAAGACACGACTTTTTTTGCAGCACATCAAACAAAATGCCTTTACATTTAGTTCACGCAGCTTTGTGTGAATAGCTGTGCAAATATATATAATCTGTTCAGCATGGAGTTTGTCTCTACATTGCTTTCTTTTTTGTTTGGTTTGTAATAGGTAAGATAAAACATTAACAATCACAACTTACTGTACACACGCGAGCGCGTAAACGTTGACTCACCATCTCTTTGTGGAAAAAATTGCGACCACCAGGGCTCTCATTTCCTCTCCAACTCTTGACCCGTCCATCCCACCTCGATCTGTAGCTCCATTTGACCATTTTGAACCCATCACTCTATCTTCTCTAGAGCAGGTCATGTGCAGCTTGAAACCTTCTGGTTCCCCCTTCGATGTGGTCCCCCCTCGACTACTAAAGGAGGTTTTTCCTACTCTAGGTCCGTCCATTCTTGCCATAGTAAACAGTAGTTTATCCACTGGCATGGTGCCAAAATCCTTTAAACATGCTGCTGTCCAGCCTCTCCTGAAAAAAACAAACCTTGACCCCTCAGTCGTTTCCAACTTCCGGCCTGTCTCCAGACTCCCATTTGTTTCTAAAGTACTGGAGAAAATAGTCGAGTCCCAGTTGAAGTGCTTCCTGGAGGATCACGCCATCTTAGAGCTTTTCCAATCTGGCTTTAAACCTCTCCACAGCACTGAAACTGCCCTGCTGAAGGTCTTTAACGACATCTTCAGATTCACAGATACCGGTGATTCTGTGCTGCTTGTCGTGTTGGACCTCACAGCCGCCTTTGACACCATCGACCATGAGATCCTCATTGCTAGGTTGGAGCAGTGGGTGGGCATCACAGGATCAGCCCTCAATTGGTTCAGATCTTACCTCACTGACAGATCCTTTTGTGTCTCCATCAAGGATTTTCGTTCCGCAGAGGCAGAGCTTAAATGGGGGTTCCGCAGGGGTCCATACTGGGTCCCCTCCTATTCCCTTTATACCTGCTGCCGCTTGGTGCTATTTTCCGGAAACACAACATGCCCTTCCACTTCTATGCCGATGACTGTCAAATTTACTTCCCCCTAAGGCACAATGGTATGTGCTCTATTCAACCGCTGCTCGACTGCCTGGCTGACATCAGGGACTGGATGGCTTTAAATTTCTTAAGTTTCAATGAAAAGAAGTCTGAAGTCATGTTGTTCCCTCCCAACGACACGATCACAAACCACTGCATTGACCTTTCCGGTCTAACACTGTCAGAAAAACAAAGAGTCACTAATCTGGGCGTGATAATGGACCCTTCCCTGAAACTTAACAATCATGTAAACATGATTGTTAAATCATGTTTCTTCCAACTGATGCGGCTGTCTAAACTGAAGCCCATATTGTCCAAAAACAACCTGGAGACAGTAATACATGCATTCATTACATCTAGGCTTGATTACTGCAATTCGCTCCTGTTTGGTATCAGTCAGACCTCCATTGCACGACTACAACTGGTCCAGAATGCAGCAGCCCGATTTTTAACCAGTACAGGCAAAAGGGAGCACATTACACCAGTTTTGGCCTCACTGCACTGGCTACCGGTTCACTTTTGAATACAGTTCAAAATACTCATATATGTCTACAAATCAATGAACAGTGTCGCCCCCCCCCCCCATCTCTCTGATTTGCTACAACCGTATGTCCCACCACGCTCCCTGAGGTCAGCGGACCAGTTGCTCCTCACAGTTCCAGGAACTCGTCTTAAGCGCAGAGGTGACAGGGCCTTCTCTGTAGCAGGACCAAGACTTTGGAACGAGTTACCTCTGCTTGTCAGACAGGCCCCCTCCCTCTCGGTTTTCAAGTCCCGTTTAAAAGCTCACTACTATTCAGTGGCTTTCAACACAAGATGATCTGTGTTTTGATCCTGTACGCTCCACACTGGTTAGTCGTCATTATCTGCATCGTTTTTTGTCTATATTCTGATTTACCTCATTTTGTATTTTGCTTTGTGTGTTACCTGTTGTTTTGTCTGTACAGCACTTTGGTTGGCCTTGTTGCTGTTTTAAGTGCTTTATAAATGAAGTGGTATGGTATCACATGATGGCCCGGGCAGGGTATCAGATTTCCGGATATTCCCATAATTTGCAGCTGTTTATTCTCATGTTGTCAATATCGAACCGGTGTAATTTACTTCCTTTTTATTTCCACAATAAAAGCATGAAATATGAGCTTTTTTTTTTTTTTAAATCAATATTAGTGCAGCGACAAAACATAGCAATATTAATTCCAAACAGATTCGCTCAAGCTGCTCTGGCTGGTTATTATTTATTTTAACACATTAGATGTTGATTCAGTGTTAATTTGACAATCTATCCAACGTGGTTCACATGGAATGGGAACAACCTGTAGATTGTATTATTGCCTCCACTGGTGGCTGTGATCAGTACTGTATACTGTATTTATTCATTAAGTTATCATAATAATAATGTGTTATTTTATGTGGTGTGTGTGTGTTATGTGACATTTCTTTATATTCTCTATTATCTTTATATATTGTGATTCTTTTGTATGTTCTTTTGCACTCTGGCACAATAATTTCCTGTGGGACCATTACAGTTCTATCTTATCTCATCTTATCTTATCTTATGTGTTGTCATCAGTTCCCATACAATGGCAAAATTGGCTCTCTGCATTTAACCCATCCACCCCAGTGGTGCAGTGGGCAGCTATTGAAAGCGCCCGGGGAGGGTGTGCTGCTCAGAGACACCACGAGATGTGCAATGACTGATGCCTCTTTTGTACTGATATTGTCCGAAAACTGAGGTGAGATATTTAGAATTAAACTGTTTTATTTTGAATCTAAAATACTGAGCCACATAAGAGATGTTTCAGAGAATAAAAATTCTATTTTTTCTCACTCACTGTGACTAAATCACTTGTGCAAAAACAATTTGCCTTGATTTAAAGTGTCTGATAAAATTTAGAAAAGTTCAGCTTCAGATTTTAGAGTTTATTTTTCTTCCTTTTTGTTCATTCAACATTTATTTATACAGGCTAGCCCACGAGGACTCATTTACAAGATGGACTTGTTCCAGACAGAACATTATGCATGTTTTAATAATTGTCCTGGAACAAATAGAAAAATAAAATCAATCATAGTGACTATAAGCACTCATCTTCTTTCTGCTGTTCCCTCTTCAGGGGTTGCCACAGTCCTGACTCTCTCCAACTACTTTTTTTTAATTCAGCCTTTATTTAGACAGGTTAATCCCATTGAGGCTCAAGGAATCATTTACAAGAGAGACCTGATTTCTTAACAAAGAGTGATGACAGCAATGGATAACAGTAGACGATCATAAAATAGGCAAACAAATTTAAGTGTACTACTACTACTACTACTACTATTACCTCCATGTCCTCTCTAATTGCAACCATATATTTTCAAATAGAACCAGCAAGCTGCCTTGTCAAATAGATTAACACTTTAAATAAATAATTCTTAAAGTTGAGCAAGCCATTATATTTGTACAAGAAAAACAAACACAAGGCTCTAGACGGTTTTATTTTGAAAGAATAACCGGAAGTCAGAATAACCGGAAGTCGAATAAACTTTCGCGCAACAACTAAGTGAATGAATGGAAGCAGCGTCGAACATGTGGAAATCCGCTCCGTTTATATGTGAGTAAAACTCGTCAAATTGGTTTATTTTAGAGTTTGTTTGTTTTTGTTGCTCTCAGTTCCACAAACCGGATGTTTTAATTGCATCACTTTAATGAATCATAGGGAGAACGTTAGTGGACAGAAATGACTCAATGGGAAGCGAAGTTTCATCATCAGGTTTCCATGTTTGTTTCATGTCCTGGCATTTTTCCGTCATGTTACGTGTTTGTGATTCATTTATATCAGACCGTGGTTAAATTATTCACACTGCTGAACGTGATGCACCTTAAAATGGGATTAAAAGTAGTTCTTTAGCTAATCTTCACCGGTGTTTCCCGGCTGTCACTTACCTTGGGCGCTCTCCTCTTCGGGGGATTTTTGTCGATGGGGGGGGGGATGCCCAGGCATGTCTGTGTTGTGCGCCCATAAGTTGTTTCTTTGTATATTGTTTATATGAAAATACATTTTTTAATTAAAAAAAATATATATTTTTAAATATTTTTATATAAAAAACGGAGGGGGTGTGGGTGAAGGACATTTGGTAGGCGGTGAAATAGATTGTGCACAATGTCTGTTAGCAAAATATCTCAAGAACATTGGACAAATTTTATGAAACTTTCTGGAAACAGCACTTCTCTGCTGCTATTTCTGTCACAATGTTTAGACACTAGGTGGTGAAAACCTTTATTATTTGTAGTTTATTAACACGTGTTCTGTTCTGTCCCCAGTGGTCCTGGTCCAGTTCTGTGGAGCTGTGACCCTCAACTGCACGTCCACACGCACTGGTGACCTCATGACTTACAGCATAGACAACTCTCAGTTTCCTGAAACTAAAAATAGCTGCTATTACTCATGGGACAACTCAAGTGTAAGTTTAGACTCATCTTTCTGGCGTTTGTTTTAGATATTTAACCAACACGCCTTTCTTCGTTTCCAGTATGACAATCATCATTATCATTATCATTTCAGGCTATGCTAAAGTTTGTAAAGCTCTAGCTCATTTAATCCCTAATCTTAACCTCTGACACCTAGCCCAGGCATCCAACCCTCACTGTGACCTCTGACCCCTTTCTCTAAACCTAATCCACACAAAAAGTTAGTATGCATTAAAAAGCATGGAAGAGGTTCTATAAACTAGTCAGTCTCAGTTATTGCAGGGCAGGAATTAAAACAAGGGGCATTTCCTCTTTAAGAAACTATCAAAAATATTCCTGTGGCGTGAATGCACCTTAGAGCGAATTGTTGGGAAAGTGCTGGGTCTAAAATAACTCGCATGTTCAAGTCCGTCATCAGGAAAATGTGTGAAAGTAGCTGATGGAAATGAGCACCACACTGTTTTTATATTACCAGTACACCAAATATGTGCTTGTTTTGTTTGTATAACAGGCTAAATGTTTCTGTTTTTTTACTTTGACTGTAGACGGTTCTTGCAAACCACAAGAACAAACTCAAGGAGGTGAAGAAAAACAGCCTCGATGCTCTGCAAACTTCAGGCTGCTTTGTGGAATTGAACTGGAACGCATTCTGCACCTCGGTAATAAACCTTTAATAAATGCTTGTTGGGGAATTCCTGCACGTTTACCAACTTGCGAAATAACACCCCATATACACACACACACGTAAAAACACAGCGAAGGACATGCTCGCTCGCCATTAACGACAGCAGCTAGATTCTCTGGATTCTGTAAAATCCATTCAAGATAGCGGTACGAGATTAAAATACTGAAGACTTCTGTGTATTTCGCTTTATTATACAAGGAATATGTAAGGATCAAAACATAAATCTCCTGGTAATAATACTCTTTCTTAATTTCCACAGACAACCGGGCACGTGGTTGATTTCACAGCCAACTGTATGAGTGAGTATTCTCAGCTGTCAGTGCTGATCTCTTTTTCCGTCATTTAGTTTAAAATAAATGGCAAATTTCTATTCATCCATTGCACTAATGTGGAAATGCCTGTTTTGCAGCAAGCTGTGCTAAAATTGATTTGATTTTCAAAGGTAAGGTTGAACATGTAGCTAACATGTAGCATAAGCTAAAGGAATGTTTACATTTTTAATTTAAGTTTTCACCCTGTTTGTTGGCAGAAGGATCATGGTTTCTTGCAGTACTCATCCTACTAGTAGCTGCGCTCACTTTTCTGCTTTTCAAATTTCGAAAGAAAATTTGCAGGTATTTGTTTATTTATTGACAATGTCAACCTAAGAGAACATGTTTTCCTTTCATTTGTCCTGACTGTATGAATGCTTTGTTTTCAGCGGCAGCACATGCAGCTGCAGCCAGTGTGGAGGCCTCTACTACACCAGTGTCAAGATGCAGAACACGGATCCCAAACCAGAGGCAGTCGTGGTGGAAAATAAGTAGAAAGCTGTCTGCTTTGTTAATTAACCGTCGCAATTTCAGACATGGCCTTCCAGTCATATTCATGAGATGCTGTTACTCCTGGCCTTTTAGATTTCTGCAGCTGATGGCAATATTGATGCTTTTTGTGCAACTTTCCTGACAGTGTAGCTTAAACATATTTATTTCTATTCAATAAACTTTCAAAAAGATTTGTCATTTGCATTGCAGCCAAATATGATCAACAAAGTCCATGCTCAACCAAATATGATGATCTTATCTAAGTTCATGCACAAAGCTTCCACGCTTGTACAAATTGTGGCCTTTTTTAAAAAAAAAATCTGTTTTGTGTTACGAACAGAACAAACATCATTTTAAATTGAGCTCGCCTCAGTTTTAACATTTGCACTACCAATAAGCTGCGTTGTATTGGTGCATGGCTGAATTGTTCAGTTTGTCACTGTGTAAGCTGACAAACAGCTTTTATTGCATTTAAAGACCTGGTTTTGTGTAACTCCCCCTTATGAGATCCAACGCTGTGGAGGCTTGGAGACCCGTACTGCAGCACCAGGGAGTGCTCTTTCAGTGTCCTATGGCATTGCAGCATTGATGATACTACTCATGTGCAATATAGATATAATGTAATATTTATAGCTGTTATTATAATAACAGTAATTGAACGATAAATATATATATATATAGAATATATTATAAATACTGATGTGTATGTGTTGTATTGAAATGTTAGGATTTTATTAGTCTAATGAAATTATTGTTCACTCTTATTATTGCATCTTTGTTAATTTATTTTTTGCTCTATGTAACTTTTTAAAACTTTATACTGTACATTTGAAATCATGTCTGTAATTCTAATGTTCTGTGTCTGCTGATTGCGATTTGATTTATTATTATTTTTTTTAAATTATATTAAAGACTTTGAAAAAAAAGAAGAAAAAAAAAAAGCTTCCTCATTGTCTTAGTTGTGAAGTTGTGACACTACAGGGGAGGGTTTTATTGTCTGGTGACTTTCTCTTAGCCAGTAAAGGTGGAAACAGACAGGGTGGTGTGTTTGGACACACCTCTCATTTCATTTTAATCACCCCTTAAAACTAAAAATGATCCTTGGCATATTTCAAGAATGACATAAACAACACCGCTGCTTGGCATTAGTACCAGCAAACCTGAGCCTTAATTTAATGTTCTTTCGTATGGCATTTATAAAAACAAAACAGATTAAAAGTTGTACAACTACCGGTACTTTCACTTCAACTGTCTTGACTTTGATGTAAAAAAAAAAATATATATAGGGTGGTGATTTTCAACCAGTGAGAACAGGAAGTACTTTGCATAATGTGGTTATAGATTTGACACCAGATGTATTTTATTATTATTAATAATCCTTTATTTTACCGGGATAAACTTGCTGAGATTAAAAACTAATTTACAAGAGTACCCTGGCAAATGATTACTTAGTAATAAAAACAATTCCTGCCCCAACAGTAGTAGAGTCAATGGGGGAAAAAAAAAACTAAGTCAGGAGGAAAGTCACAGCAGCCTGTTGTTTGAAACTGTTTTGTTTGTACAGTTGTCTTGACAACACATCTGCATTTACCAAAACTCAAAAGGGCTGTGATTCCTGGGAACTCATGGACAGTCATGTGTCTTGCAGAATCATGTGAGCTGTCAGTAAAAGTGTGTGCATGTGTTGGATGGGTGGAGAGCATCAGTCTCCTACTTACCAGAAAAATGTTTTCATTTCAGTTTACTCTCTTATCACAAGTATTGTGTGCATACTTTAAAAAAATAGTAAAAAAAACGGTTTTTTTTATTCTTAGAAGGTGAGTGTTGTTCTGTTTTATTTTGTAAAATAAAATAAAAAAATCAGAGAAAGAAATGTGTATAATCATGTTTTGCGTATGTTTCAACAACCACATGCAGTTAAAAATAGAGGTTTCTGGAAAACTGTTCATCCTATTCAGTTGTGTTTAATAATTAAGAGCAACTTCAAGCAATGCAGTAACAAGCAAGTTAAATATGTGCAACATCATGACATGAAAAGCGAATGCTTAGACAATTGTGTCACACTGTGAACTCAAGGAAAGAGAGTGTGCATAGGTTCACTTTAGTTCATGCTTGTGTTTGGTCATGAAAAATAACAGGACATCCTCTGTGTTTCACAACATATTGTTTCTGAGGATCCTGCTCAATAATCCATGTATAAATACTAACAAAGTTAAGTCAGGTCCAGTGGACGGTTTCTTTTTGTTGAAACAAAAGACTTCATCAGTCCGAGGAGCTGCAAACAAACTCAGGTTTCTTAAGAACACCATCACATAGTGGGCCAACCAGTTTGATGGTGCTCAGATGAGTTGGCTGGAGAGAGGGGGATCCCAGGAAAAAAAAAATAAATACTTACAGTAGGCCCTTCCTGTGGTCTGTGGGCGGGGCTTCATAAAAATTGATAAAAGCCTTCCCTTGCAGTAACAATGCGGAAATGAGGTTTGTTCCTTCAAAGATGCGGCTCGCTGCTGTGGTAGCTCTGTGTGAGTATGTTGCATTAAGTAGTTTGGGCTCGTGGTTAATTCACAGCTTTTGTAAAGCCTGTATAAATAACAAATTAGCGTCATCATGTTTTGTAAACTCACTGACTCGGACGTCCGTGTGATGAAACTGACCCAATGAGCCCAAAACACCGGGTCATCACGTCGCAGCTAAGCTCGTGCTTTTATTTACCGCGTATTTGCTTAAAACTCTTGTTTCTGAAAGACAACTCAGTCGCTCGGGCACCCATTTCGTCATAAATTTAATTTGATTTAAACGTGAGGTTGACCGCGAGATAACGGTTTACAGTCACTACAGTAATAATAAGCGCACGTGCTCGCTGTCATCCGGAGGATTTCCCTCTGACGCTCGTTGCTTTGCTGATATGATAAAATCCGCGACATGACAGAGCTTTATACTCCCAGTATCAAGTTAATTACTGCATATAATCAAATTCACTTATAGGTGTAATGCTTTTATGATTTACGCTAAGCTCTACTCTAAACACTACGTCAAGGGGCGGGGCTAAATTCTTGCTTCAGCCAAGAAGGGGAATTTCATTCATTGTTACGTCATCCCAAAGCGGTGTTTATTTTGGCTTGTGAAAACCAAATGAGTACAATCTAAGTTTTAAATAAATGTAATCATAGGTTTGTTGTGTGTTAAGCATTAAAATACTAAATATTGTCACGTTCAGTGAATGTTTTGAGTGACTCATCTAACATATCAAACTGTAAATAGACTGAGCTACAGCCATTTTTGTGATGCCTAGGCTCATGAGATATTTTGCTAACAGACAAACAGTGTTGACTCCCAACAGTTATTGCTAAAGTTTTGAGCTAAGATGTCGTGCAATGAGTAGCACTTGTATAAGTGTTGACTTGAGTTATAGCCGTTTTGTGTGGGTTTTATTTAGGCTCAGTTGGCTGTGGTGGCCATCTTGAATCAGATTTTGTTCCAGTAGTTCGTGAGATATTTAGATAACAGATGGACAAATGTTGAAACACACACAGTAAAAACACAATCATCGATTTTTGACTTTCAACAGCAGGTGATGAGCACAATCCGAGTCAATCTTGAGCTCTCAATAAGTTTTTTTATACGTTTATCTCAGTAAAACACTTGGGGAAAAAATGAACTGACAATAATGACAAGATTAGCTCAACTATATGCTGCTAATACATTTAAATGTTCAGCTTAAGTCACAGGTATTCCTTTTGAGCCGTTATGATCCTTATTAAATATCTAATCTTGTCTATCATTTCAAGTTCCACCTTTTTAAAAACAATTCAGACCTAAAGCAACAAAACTAACCATATTTCTGTATTTGTTTGCAGACTGGCTTCTATTGTCGTGTCGTGCTCAAGACTTTAACTGCACTGCTGCTCGAAACAATAACGGTGTGACTTACAAGGTTTCAGACGAGTCTCGTCCTGCATATTACAAGGCATCTAGGTGCACTTACATCTGGAGTAATGCCACTGTAAGTTAGTGCCAACACATCGGCTTGTTTCCTGTGTTTGAATGCGACTCATTTGCTTTCAGGCAATAAAATATATTTTTTACTATCTATTCAGTTGCCCTTTAAATCTTATATAAACAGTGGCAACAAGTCTGAATCTGATTATGACATGCATTATCTGTAAAATAAGGCCTTATTACCAGTACTGCAGAATCATTCAAAAATGTCAACACATTCGGCTGTTTGTGGCTAAAATATGAAACTGTTGTTTGATTTTTATAACTGAAACAGACATGCTTTAAGGTTTTTGGTAATTATGTCTAACCACTTTCCTTTTTTATATTCCAACTTTAGGACTACACAGTTGCAACCAACTTGGGGAGTGAGTCATGTTTGATGGAAAGCAGCATCAACGAGCTAAATGCTTCAAGATGCATCGAGAACCTTGTTTGCAAACAGCACTGTACATCAGAGGTATTCAACTTACCTGCACACTGACGGCAACTAATAAAGTAAACTCTGCGCACAAATATTAAAAGATACAAATCTAACATATCTATCATATGCATATATATATATATATATATATTATATAAACAGTGTCAACAAGTTTGCATCTCATTATGTTATGTCTTATCTGTGAAATAGAGTCTTATTTTACAAATAATTCATGTATATTTTTTACTATCTAT